AGACTGTAGGACAGACTTCTCAAAGAGCACAGAACATAATGTTAAGAAGGAAAGAGCTGCTGAAGACTTGAGCTTCAAACTGCCTTGCTATTGGCAAAGCCTTTGACCTTTTTGCACCTCAGATTCTTGGTCTTCAGAACAAATTAGTTGAATTAGTCCAAGATGTTTTATTATTAAACTACAGATCAATGTGAGTTATAGTGAATCCTCTAAAATAAAAAACAACCACAGTGTTTGGCAGATTATAATATTATACATGCAAATATATGTATATATGTACACACACACATATATAAAATTTGCCTGGTCAAAATGTTGGAATGACACAATGACTATTATTAAAAACAAGAAAAAATGTTCACCAGACTGTGGATAAGATAAATCTTTATACTCTGGTAATAAGAATGTAAATTAGTACAGCCACTATAAAAAAAATTGGATGTTGCTCAAAGAACTGAAAAATACAACTGCCATGTGACCCAACTATACCAAGAGTGCCATATACTTATGTCTTCTTATTGTGGTACTATCATTCACAGTACACAGGATATATAATTAGCCTTGGTGCTCATTAATAGAGAAATAGTTAAAGAGAATGTGATACAAGCACAATGGATCAAAATCATTAAATAACGTTACTTTCACCAAAATACATAGTCCTGGAAATATATAATAGTAAGTGAAAGTGTCTAGCTACAGGAAAAAAATTGTATGCATTCTGTCACATATAGCAAACGTAGAACAGATAAACAAACAAGAAACAGGACAACATTACCTGAAAATAGAAGGCAGGCATTTAGAGAAGGGGAAGATATTGTGATATTTTGTTTATGTTCTAACAAATAAAGCTTGTCTAGTGATTAGAGGGCGGAGCTAGCCACTAGTTCACCATAGAGGTCAGGTGGTGGTGGCTCATATCCTTAATCCCAGCACTTGGGGGTTCACATCTTTAACCCTGGCACAGTTGCGAAGTGGAGAGAAGAATATAAGGCTAGTGGAGACAGGATCTCCTGCCCATTGGATCTGAGATTTTGTAGAGGTAAGAAGTTTCTAGTGCTGCTGTTCTGCTTCTCTGATAAGCTTTCACCTTAGCTATCTGACTCCAGGTTTATATTGTTAAGACTGATTAGGATGGCACTTCAGGAAGAAGATGGAAAGAGGTGAGACAGTGAAAGAGGGGATTAGGGAGATTATACAGGATCAAAGCATAACATGTATATGTATGGCAATACCACAGCCAAATTCATTAATGTGTAAAAATTAATATGATTAAATAAGTATAACATAATATCAAGAGGGAATTTTTGATAAATTAAAAACTAAACTAGGTGTGATGGTGACCACACAAAATTTCAGTACAAAAAGGCATGTATTTTATAGTAAGATGAACACTATGTAAATCATTTGAGTTAGGAATGTGGCTTTAACATTAAAAATAAAGACAATAAACAGAATTTTTAACTCCAACACCCTATGATCCTATGACAGGTTTGAAGAATTTATTTGTTAACTTGTACTTTGTCACACTCCAAAATATGAAAAATCAAGGTTATAACATTATGCCAAAGAGGCAGATAGGCTAAGGTAAAGAACCACAAAAGCACTTTATATTTCTGACCACGTGATACATATAGATTTTAGTTTCTTTCTCTACAGATCTCACCCTCTTATCACAGACTAATGTGGGATATGTTTATAGAAGGAACACTTTTCTCAGTTGCTTTTAATGTAAACTGTCAAATTATCTACTGCTAACTACACAGTCATGAGATTTATGAACTGAGTAAATTTACTGAACAAACTATTTTAGTATTTTGTGCGTCATGTACATTATTTTGGTAAATCATCATGTGATGTTCAAGTTCACTGAAAAGCTGTCTCTAAAAGCAGGGTTGCCTCCTTCCCACATCAAACTCAAGCATGGTTGTCTCAGAGTGACCTTCAAGACCCCTTATTTGGGCATGGGCTGTCTCCTCCCCCACAACATAGTGACAGAAACTGCAAAACAACCCAGACATAAAATATCGTGTCTTTGAGAACATCTAGAAAGTAAACAATTTTCAGGAGATGTTCCTATCATATTCAATCATAGAAAAGTACCTGTAGTGAGAAAGAAAAGCCCAGAGTTCAGCCATGGGTGTTCTGCCAAGGGGAGCTCAGCCATAGAGAACTTCCTCTTGCCTCAGTTCTGCAGTTGTGTTCTGCTGGATATTGTGAGCACCAAATAAATGATATCATCTTTGTCTGTGTTCTTTTACTCAGAAGCCTCATATGAGGGACATTTTGCTCTAACCAGGATTCTATTGGGAACTTCAGGTTAAAGGGGACTCCTTCGTATTTTTGATAGATATTTGTGTATCTCTCATTTGATAATGCCACTTTTTCCTGTTATTTGTTCTTTTCCTGAAAGGAATCTGCACTGTTCAAGACTCTATTGGGACTTCCAGCTGACTACTTTAAGGGGACTTCATCGTTTAGTTTCTACTGGGTATTTTGAGTACCAAGTTGATGATATTTTACTAGCTATCTAAGATTTATTTTTTATTATTTTTAATTATGTGGGGCGTAGACATATGACTGTCCAAGGAGGCTGGAGGCCTCAGATTCTTTGTAGCTGGAGTCATACACTATTGTGAGACACCTGAAGATCAGGTCCTCTGGAAAAGGAGTAACCATCTCTCTAATTCCCTATCTTATTTGGCTATCTATGTATCATTTATCTATCTCTACTATTTCTTCTTTTAATTTGGCTTACTCTAGACTTAATAGGCTCACTCATTCAAAACCAAAAGAATAGCTACCATAATTCATTCTCTGGACCATATAGAGCACATGATTATTTTTTAAGTTTACTATAATAATTTGATGGAAGAGTTTAAGAAATGTGACTTGTTAGTCCATTAATGACATATTTTGCCAACATTCAGCAAATAAACAGATTATTTAGTTGTCATGAGAATTACGTTTGTTGTAGCATGAATCTTAAAAAGTCTTATTAATAAAAACAAACCTGGTGCCAGGTATTGGGATAAACGCTGAAAGATCAGAGAAACAAAACCAGCCACAGATAACCTTACCTCACCAAATCCTCAGCTGATCTCATTTCCTCACACTGGAAGTCTCATCCGAATGGATCTCAGCTGAACTGCTGATCAAAATTCTAAAAGCTTAACCAGGCTCTAGTTCCTGGTTTTCATGTCTCATATACCTTTCTGCTTCCTGCCATCACTTCCTGGGATTAAAGGTGTGTGTCACCATGCCTGGCTTTTTACAGTGTGGCTTTGAACTCTTAGAGATCTGGATGGTTCTCTGCCTCCAGAATGCTAGGATTAAAGGTGTGTGTGCCACCATTTTCTGGCCTCTATGTCTATCTAGAGGCTGTTCTGTTCTCTGACCCCAGATAAGTCTATTAAGGTGCACAATATTTTTGGGGACACAATATACCACCACAGTATGTTAAGATAATTTTAAGCGTGAAATAAAAGCATTAAAGTTAATCAGAGAAAATTCATATCTTTGAGAATTTTAATGCAACATTTCATTCTATTACCCAAACTTTCTGTACACCTTTATTTCCAGAACCTAAATAGTAATAAAGATGAATAAATACTGTGCTCAATTAGTTATAAACAGAAGGAATCAAAAACTCTGAAAATACCTCTGTTTTTCTGACTTGGTGTGCATCATTTTTTTTTTTTTTGCAGTAACCATTTTTTGGTTAAAGAGAGATGGAGACGAGCTTCTAAAGCAGCCTAAATTCTTGAATCCTCTGCTGATAAGTGCATGTAGCCAAGTCCTGGCTGCTCTACCTAGACCAGCCTTCCAGTTATCAACCAAGCTGGAATGTGTTCCTGGCAAAGAAGAAAGAAAGTCCTCGAAGCACAAACATTTAGTTCAGCAACCATTAATTGATCATTTCTGTACTTGCGGAAGAGTACAAGTTACAGTGACGAGTTTCAAGGGACCTGGGCAATTCAGTTGGACAGGGTCAGAGGAAGGCTTCATAAAGAACTATTTGTTTATAGTCCAGAGAATCTAGTTTGGCAAGAAATGAAGTATAGAGTGTGAAGCATCTCTCCATAGAGAGCTTCTTCACAGCAAATGGTTTGATTTATTGGCTTATAATTGAAATTGACAAGAGCACAGAAAAGAAATGTGTAGAAACTTAAATTCAAAGAGAATATGGCATGTAAATTAGCAACAAATGCCACAAAATGTAACAGATAGTAATAGTAAAGCTTTTGGTCTAAGATGAAAATAAGGCCTAAAACTATTTGCTATGTGTGGGAGTTCATTTTTATACTTACACAAATTTAATGCTACATTGCCTCCTGATTTAGATAATATATATGTAGGAAATAATTGCTAAATTATGTATTTTGAAGCAAAATGATTAACATATGGAAAACAAGAATGGAATTAACAAGAATTATATCATACTATGTCAAAAAATCATAGTATTTGTCACATATATTTCTTTTTTTTTTTTTTTTTTTTTTTGGTTTTTCGAGACAGGGTTTCTCTGTGTAGCTTTGCGCCTTTCCTGGTACTCGCTTTGGAGACCAGGCTGGCCTCGAACTCACAGAGATCCGCCTGGCTCTGCCTCCCGAGTGCTGGGATTAAAGGCGTGCGCCACCACCGCCCGGCAGTCACATATATTTCATATAACTTTCACACAGTACAAAGTCTAAAACGCTCCTTCAAAACAAAAAGCAAAGTACAAATTGAAGAAAAATGGACACAAGTTCTAAAGGACTGATCAGTCCTGATTCTGTGACTGACAATGCCATGTGAATATCACCCTGTGTTATATTTTACTCTTGTACAATCTAATATCTTTTCGATTTGCTTGAGGTTACTACCTGAAAGCGGAAGTCATTATTTGATAGAGTGCTTTGACACTATTTTAATAAATGTTTGAGAAAATTAACTGTGTTCTTTCCTTCAGTTCATGCAGTATAACTGTAAGTGTCTGTATTATTATTTTTGTTGTTTTTCAGCTCCTCTAACTGATAAGCCACCCAAGCTTCTGTATCCTGTAGAAAGTAAACTAACAATTCAGGAGACTCAACTAGGTGAGTAACTCTTCATTTCTACTTAATATGCCTTTTCTCAATATATTTCAATAGCTAAATAAGTCTAAATCACAGGCATGTTATATTCTAAACTGTAAAGACCATTCCCTGCAATACATCCTTTGGAACCAAACCCTACATATAATATTTAAATGGATATTGGGAAGGAGATAGATAAGCTTAAGATTTTAATATTATTGTGCATATTTTAGCCTCAAGGTATAATGGTTGAATTGGTTTTAAAATACACAGTATGGAAGTACGTGAGGAATAATACTCCAAAATACATTAAAATACAATTTTGAAATTGAGAAAAAGTTGCAAGTTCATCGAAATTAATGTCAGTAATATAAAAAAATGTTAAAAATTTAATCCAAGCCAGATATAAATGTCTGTGATAGAGTATTTGCTTAGCATTACAGGGCCTGAGGTTTGAGCTCTAGTACTGAATATTACTATTTTAGAAGTATAATGCTAAATTCTCACGAGTGGTCATGTTTAAATACACATTGCAACAAATTCTGCAAACATGTATTTCTAAGAAATTGGGTAAAACTTGAAACATCTTGGGTCAAGAACAAAGAAGTTTATGATAGTAGTTAGATATAGTGAAAGTGGTAACATGCTAATTACATTTTTCATATTATATTAACAAAGTATGAGCAAGTCACATTTGATAAACAAACTAGTAGACTTGGACATGAAATTATAGACACAATACACTTGCCATAAATATGAAATTGTATATAAACTGGAATTGTAACATATTTATTTTGGAAGAAATATGAGATTTTTGCCTAATTTGGGTATATACAGTTATATCAAATCTCCTCTTAATTTTTATATATATATATATATATAATATATTATTTTCATTGCATTTTTATTTTATTTCAAATGTTCAATGAAGAGAAATAGGTAGATGACAGACATAGAACAAATTTCTGTAGAAATGTATTCACTTGTAGTGATTAAGTTAAAAAGGATTTTCAAACATATAGTTCAATTGTATATTCATATTGTTAAGGAACTCTTACATAAATAATTCAAGAATGAAAATGCACTTAATTTTTACAACTGGAAAGAATTTGTTGTTCATTTAGCTATTAATTCCTAACTTGAATTTGGAAAAATAATGTGTATCAATTTTCTAAAGAAAGCTTAAAGACATGATGATCTTTACTAATAACACAAACACATTATGCTGCACAAAGATATGGTAATGGTTTGGGAACCACTGAATTTCTTATAGTAGGAATGTTTATGCTTAGTAACTTAAAGGATGCACATATATATGGTATATACAGTTAAGGAAGTTAATATGCTGCTTTGATAGCAAATCTGAGCCTTCTGGACTCATGTTATGTTCATAAAAGTAATACAATGATTGATATTTTGAGATGGGAGACTATAGATAGTATTAAAACAATATCATAAATAAAGCAAATAAATAAACTAAAATTTTATCTAACTCTTTGTTCGGGTTATTGTGTATTTAGTTTATTATAATTTATTACTAGTTTAGAAATAAATCTTGAAATATGAATTCTCATGCGTGACCATGCTTAATGATATCTTATGATAACATCTAGAAATGCATGTTTCTCAGAAGTTATATACAATTCTTGGAATAAGAAGGAGGGTTTATAATAACAGTTAGTTGTAGTGAATATAACAAAATGAAATTTTAAGGTTCTAATTATATGTATTTTCTAGACAACATAATTAAGTGAATTTTATGATTGATGCTCGCCTGTTGGGTTTTTGTTTTTGTTTTCATGATCCATAATTTGGAATGACCCAAATTGGTCTTTACCTCTTAACTTTCATAAATGGAATAATGTGTAAAGTTGTTTTTAATATTACTTGAGAGAAATCATAAAGACTAACCAACCATATCGAGCTGAGATGGAAAGGTCTTGTGTAATGTGGCATGTTTTCTATGTTTTCACTTGAAGAAACATGGAGATACCTTTTCACAAAGTACTAACTCCTTTATTAACAATGATTCAAAAAGTGAGATTTCTTTAAACACCAATTGAATTAAAGGTATCAATCTGGAGTTTTGATTATTTTATACAATATTTTCACAATATTTACTGATTCCTATTTTCAGCACATAAGATGAATAATTCACTAAATGGAGAAATGTAGCCTAAATCCTTGATTCTTTGAGTAACAGTTTATTTGAAAGAACTATGTTACTAGCACTGCTAATGGTTGAATAGTGGATCCAAAAGGGATATGAGTGATGCATGCCTGAAATTTCGGCACTCTCGAGGTAGAAGCAGAAGGATTGTGAGTTCCAGGCATGACTGGGCTACCTAATACAGTCCACACCATCTTTGACTACTTGGTAAACCTCTGTCTGAAAGAAAATAAGTGAAAATTGAAAAAGTATTAATAAAAGATCTCAGACACCTAAAAATACCAGTTTTTAAAATGTCTACTTAGACTTACCATTTGTATAAAGATTTCAATTTTATTTTTTTCTTGGTCAGGAAAAGCTATTCATTCCAATAGTCTGAATATATGACATTCAAATCCTAAGAAAGGGGTCTCAGTGGAATGTCATTTAGTGGTATTCAGAATTGAGTAGCCTGCATCAGTGATAAAGTATCTCTATAAGTGCCATCCTCCCTCTTAAAAGAAGTTCAGGAAACTTCTGTACAGTGGGTAGGGGATGACGACAGGAGAGTCATTGCACCTTGCTGGAAGCCAGCTTAGTGCAAGGTTTTGTGACAGATCCTGTCTCAGTGGAACAAGTTTAAGAGTGATACAGCAGGACACTCGACATCCTTTTCTGGCCTCTACACAAGATCACATTTGCACTAGCAACTGCACACATTTAACACATAAACTAACTCTCTCTCTCTCTCTCTCTCTCTCTCTCTCTCTCTCTCTCTCTCTCTCTCTCTCTCTCTCTCTCTCTCACACACACACACACACACACACACACACACACACACACACACACACATAATAAGATAAAATACAGCTATGTGGCTATGTGATTCATAGATTTTCCTTTCATCTCCACATTCACTTGGCATGCCCATCTTTCCTTTTGTATGTCCTCTGTGTCCTATTCTAATTTTTCATTTTCTCAAATAAAAAATGTCTGGTATTGATCGTTTGAACTCTTTCACTGTAGAAAACAAAAGGCACTAAAACCCAAAGTACTTAGTGAAAAAGTAATGAAATGTTAAGGAAATTCATATAAAATACATAAAATGATAGGTTTGAATTGCAATCAATATGTGATGACAGCCTGGAATTTCTCCTTCAAGTGGCATCTGCATGCTATTTCTAAATGTTTAAAAAAATCGTTGTCTCTTCTAAATAACTCAGACATCAGCAAATACATGGACAGAGAATGATTGGGCAAAAGGCCCAGAAGACACACTGTAGAACTCTGAAGGTCAATCCAGGAAGTAAATCCGACTTAGTTCCTTCAGACTGGTGCAGTCCAAGGAATCAAAACACAGACACAATTGACATGCTGGGCTTGAGCGCTGTCATTCAGCAATCTGCCTTTACTGTATGGCCAAGCAGCCATTCTTAGAAGCTCCCAGAGTAAAGTATAGCATATTCGATTGTTACCAGAGATTCAAAGAGTATAAATCCCACTTAGCTTTGACATAGTGTAGCACATCTTATTCACAACTCAGATTTAACAACTACAAAAGTCCTACACCGCCAATATTCCTATAAAACAATGTGATGAGAAGCCTGAGCTGAAGATCCTCACCAGATGTGCTCTGGTTTATCTTTAATAACTTTTTCTCATATATTAACTTTGTTAAGATGCAAATATTTTGGCATATGTAATTAGGTTTTTCCAGATGTTAATATCTAAAGGAAAGCAATTGACATGGAAGCTCAGATTTCTACATAAACCTTCGTAAAAGGAAACATGCACTATCTCTCTCTCTCTCTCTCTCTCTCTCTCTCTATATATATATATATATATATATATATAGATATAGATATAGATATAGATATAGATATAGATATATGCTTATCTATTTGAACTATAGACTAAATTTTTAAAACCACACTGGAAATTGGCATTCTTTGCCTGATTTCACCATATTATAGAGCACAAAATTTTAAACATTAAGAAATTTCAAGGAAAGTGGTCAAAACATATATAATGGATCCCAGTCAATATTCTTATAGGAAAAATTCTTTGTCATGGAAATTACATATCAGTTTACTGGGTTGCTAATATAATTAATTACTGAAATATACTTTATTGCTATGATTTATATGGTATAGAAATGTTATTAAATGCACATGGCATATGGAATGTGTTTATTAAAAATACATAGTTGAGTTTTAATTGCAATAAAACACTATAGAAAAATATTATGGAGTGAAAAATAGTTTGAAATATACGTTTCTTAGGCCTGTACGTATAGCTGCTATTCTCTTGAAACAAAGCAGCCAGACTGTATAGTTACTACTTTACTAAAATGATCATGGAAAACTTGCTTCTTTCCTTTCTAGGGTTGGGAAAAATTTAATATCAATACCTTTTTAAAAAGTAAAGCAGGTATTGAATTGGGTGTCCATATCTTAAAGTGGCTTAGGATACTGTTGATTTAAAAATATATTGTATTACTAGAGTATGAAAGTGATGCCAGTATGATCTTCCTTCCCACAGGTAGAAACACTGACCGGGTTTTTGCTTTTCTTTCTCTATGGGGAAAAACAACAACATCCGGCGGTGGTGGCGCACGCCTTTAATCCCAGCACTCGGGAGGCAGAGCCAGGCGGATCTCTGTGAGTTCGAGGCCAGCCTGGTCTCCAAAGCGAGTTCCAGGAAAGGCGCAAAGCTACACAGAGAAACCCTGTCTCGAAAAACCAAAAAAAAAAAAAAAAAAAAACCATCCAAATTCTAAGTTTTTATAAAAATTGATGTGTTTTTCACACTTAACAAAGACATGTACATTAGCGTAACTGTACTTTCTCAAATAAATATTGTTAGACATAAAAGCGAAGGTTTTACTTTAGTAGATTTGGTCCTTTCTTAATCATAACTACAGCTGGCCAGAACCACAGATTCTAAGTTCAAAATGCCTAATGGCCCTTGATAGTCTTTGTTTCCATCTGAAACTTCACAAGCCAGGCTTCCATCATCTACATTGCTCTCAGGACTTTTAAATCTTCCAAGTTCCCACAGAATATCCCACTGAGCTCTGAGCACTCAACAGATTTTCCAGTTCAAAGTTCAAAAGCCACCACAATCATCCCAAATTCATATGGTCAGATCTGTAACAGCAATACTTCTGTTATATATATATATATATGCCTATAGATTTAATTTTGATTTCATGTTTCTTAATCACCACAACTGTCAAATTATAGATTAACATAAGTATGTAGTTATAAAAGAACAACGTGCTCACTAGTCTTATTTTATAAGAGGGAGTTTAATGGACACTGTGCCATTAAACCTGATCTTTATTTTTGTCTTAGGGTTTCTACTGCTATGATAAAACACTATGGCCAAAAGATACTTGGAAAATAAAAGGTTAATTTATTCTTATAAGTCTCAGGTCACACTCCATCACTGAGGAATTCAGGGTAGGAACCTGGAGGTAGGAACTGAAACAGCGCCTGTGGAGAAATGATGCTTACTGGCTTATTTCTCATAGCTTGCTCCTCTTGGCTTACCCAACCTGCTTTGTGTATAGCACCAAGATCATCATCCCAGGGTGTCACTGCCAAGAGAGAGCTTTGGGGGATCCTGGGAGAATTTCTAGAGGCAAATGAGAGATGGAAATGACAAAGATACATTGCATATATGTATTTAATTTTCAAGGAATAAACAAATTTTAAAATTTAGATACTATAATAATGTAGTATCTCTTTAGAATAATTGTGGGTACATATTCAGATAGCACAAGAAAGGATTAGCCCATGTCATGGCATATATTAAGTCGTTAATTAGTGTTTACTTTTAGAAGTATAAGTATTCTCAAGCAATGAGTAGAGTTCCTAAGTGCCCTTTGAACACTGGTGTTTGTCTGATCATGCTTATATTCTTCCTAGAACTCAATACTATGGCAACATATATAAGCTTCATTGTAGGATGGATACAATTTTAGAAAATTAAGTTCCATTCTCCTTTTAAGAATATGCATGCATATTAATCGTTATACTTAAATATGCCTATAGATTTAATTTTGATTTCATGTTTCTTAATCACCACAACTGTCAAAATATAGATTAACATATAGTAAGTATGTAGTTATAAAAGAACAATGTGCTCGCTAGTCTGGAGTTTAATGGACACTGTGCCATGAAAATTTGTAAATGACCAACCAGATGAAAATGAAGCATTTTTAAAATTATGATTCTAAAGGAATGAAGTTCCAGGGGATTTTTTTAAGACCAGAATCAGGAGACTAATTTTGCAAAACAAAGTATCAAACCATTCTTCCTGTGCTAGTCAAGCCCATTTTAATGAAAAGACACTATTTTCCTGTGAGCCACACCACTATGAGGAAGCATTCTAAATCACTCCTAATGATCGAAGTTTACTAGCACAGAAAAATATAGCAAGTGCACAATGTTAACAAGAACTGCTCCTGTATTTGCAAAGTAAATGCCAATTTATAAGGAATAAACTCATCAAAGGACATTCTGGTGTAGAATATCGAAAGAAATTTCAGAATAAGAGCATGCCCCATGTGACTGATGTCCATAAAAAGGACTATAAAAAGACTCACATCATTTAGAGTTTGAGTATAGAGAAAGATGTTCATCCATAAATTTCCTCTTGAATTTTGGCTAAATAAACGAGAACTCCTAAATTATATGCAGACTCTCCATGAAAAATAACTTGTGCTTGAATGTGATTATGAAAAGGGGATACCAGTATTTTACAGTATAATGTTAGAACACTTAGCATTCCAGTCAAACTTCACTCTACCAACTAAGTATGCTCCTGCAGATCTGTGGGTAAATTGAATCATCATAATTTCAAAGAAGTGCTCCCTTCATTTTTGATTGATTTCTAATTAGTAGTGGCTTAACATGTCAATTTTAAGAGTCTCTGTCCCCCAGTCTCTTTTAAGCAGCTAATGATCACTGAAAGATTTATATTCACAAGGGAAATATGCTATTTAAAGATACTCTGTGGTGAATGATTTTATATGAGAACCCTTTTGTAATTGAATAATCACGCTCATTACTTCTCTCTGTGGTAATGCAGATTTTTACACTATCATAAGATGGGGTTCATCAATTTGAAACTGCAAGTGCCATTGTCCTGGACAAAGGACCATCCACCCATCATCGCCAATGATTCCCTTTAGTTTGTCAGTATAAAAAGAAGGGAACTTTCTACCTCCTAATAGAAAGTAGTAAATTCGTTCATTAGCTTTATAATAAATGATATTTCATTTTTAAAAATATTGAAAAATGATATTAAAATATTGAAAAATGATACTATAGAGTATAATATTTAAATAATAACATTTCATGTTCAATCAGGACAAATACACTGTTTCCATATGTAATATATTTTGCAGGCCATCCTGCTCTATTACTTGCCTCTATTTTATTGAAATACATACCACCAGAATGACCACCCATGATACAGTTCATTATCCATAGTCATGACTCTGATGAAAGTTCTATTTCCTTTTTACTAGCATATATTGTTATTATTTGTACAAAGTTAAGGGTTTCAGTAGGAGATTGCAATATATGCATACAATACATTTGGACATATTGTCCCAATATATTTATATTACTCTTACTTAACAGGAAAATTTTGTTTTTTTATTTTTCTCAAATATATATGTCTCTTTTCATTATACCATTGTGGCAACCACCTCACTTTAACTTTGTTTTTCTTTTGAAGATAAAAGTTTATACATTGTTATTTAACTTACAGCTTTATGAACAAACTATCACAAATATTTTCCTAAACATATGCTCCTAAACATGCCATATGTTTCCATATGTAGAATAACCATAAGGTTTTAAAACCTAAACCCCATAGCAAAATCTTTCAAAGAGGCATCTTTCCAATTCACTATCAGAAAAACTAGAGATTTTTCAAAATAAGATATGAGAAATATATATCAGTTTATAAAGCACAGTAACAAACTCAATAACAAAAAGAAAATTAAAAGCTTAGCAGAGTTTTTATTTTTCAAAATCCACCTGTTTTGAAATAAATCAAAAGGTAACTCCACTGCATTTGAGAGCAGGAGAGAAAGCTGAGAAGTTGTTCAAGACTCTAAAGGACTCAGTCATCCCCTCTTCCTCCCACTTCTGCCCAATTACTTCCTCAAACTAGCAAAAAAGCAAGAGACATTTTCACCTTCTGAATGTTCTTTTGGTTTCTAGTTTAACAGAAGCGGAAGGCCCTTTGTGGACTTGCCTGCTGAAGAATTGTGATTACAGAATATTGGCAGCTCTTTGAATAGGAAGAGACCAAGGGAAGGTTTCTTGTTCTCCAGAAAAAGATTAAAAAAAAAAACACAATGAAATTGAGCACATCAAGCCAGAAACAGAATACTCCCAGTCCTAGGCAAAACTGACATTGTTGCTACAAATATTAAGTAAGAAATAGTGTGAAATAGCTTAGAAGTTCAGAATGTATTTTTATTGTCTCTTTCTAAAAGAAAAAAAAACAAATGTCTTGATGAACATACATTCTCAGATGAGAATGGCATTATCTTGGCAACTTTATGGGTTTTTAATTAATTGATTTCCTGAAATACTTCCTGGAAAATGTACTACTTTGACTAAAATTATTTGCGCTAAATTTGTATTATTTTTAGGTACTCTAATTATTATTTACTACCTTTTATAAATAGTAATAATATTACCTTCAGGATTATCCACCACATACTATATTATTCAATGTATGTATATGAAAACATTATTTTATGTGTGATTATTTATAACGTCTGTTAAAAAAAACTTTTATTTCCTAAGAGTAATGTGTTTTCACTCCAAAGATGTTTATTAAGACTTTCTGCTGGAGAGTAGAAGTGATATTCTTATGTATTGGGAGATAAAAGAAGCAAAAATTTGATTAGGCATTTCAGTTTCAGGTGAGATTGTCTCACAGAGAACATCAATGACTGCATATGAGAGCATGTTCAGTCAAAAGTGATTCCTGCTGCTGTGGATTTCAGGGCAAATGGGACAGGGTGTTCTTTCAGTCGCTCTTTATGTATTCAAAATGAAATAAAGGAGCAAGGCAATGTCTCAATTTCCTAGAGGGAGGAGAACAGACAGAGTTTATTTATACCTAAAAAAAAAAAAAACTACTTCAAGAAAAGGTTAACTTAGAAATCTTGTTATTGGCTTTTTTTTTTGAGACATGGTTTCTTTGTGTAGCCCTGGCTGTGCTGGAACTCACTCTGCAGACCAAGCTGGCCTCAAACTCACAGGTATCTACCTGCCTCTGCCTCCCCAGGGCTGTGTCTAAAGGCGTGTGCCACCACAGCCTGGCTATTGGCTGACTTTCATTGGCTAGCTTTGCCTCTGCCTTTTTTCTTCTCTCCTCCCTTCCCATCTGTCCCCAACCTTCCCTTCTATTCTGCCCTCCCTTCTTCTTCTTCCCGTTCCCTTCCTTTTCTTTCCTTTCCTTTTGCCCAGTGCTAGACTTTCCTGAGATAGATTGAATATTGATCAGGTAAAAGTCTGATAGTTTAATTTCCTTCACTTTTCCCAAAGTGGAGTCCAAGGTTGGCTGCTTAGACTTGGATTAGAAGTGATAGGAACAAATCATTCCTTCCAACCTCTTACAATGCATTGTTTTCTACTTTGTTGTACTGAAAGTAGGCACTGTGATCTCTTATCATATTTGCTTAGATGTTCTGAAGATAGTTTGGTGTGTAAACTTTGCCTTTGTAACTTGGTGCATCTAAGGGAAGAGGTAACAGGAGGATTTTACTCAGCTCTACTGGGCAATTTAAATTTGAAGTATGACAGGTTCTGATATTTCATAGTCATTGTCATGGTCATAAGTGGCAAATCATTTAAAAACATGAGGATTGAAGATCACAAGAAGCACTGTAGCTAGCATGTTCTGTCTTTTTCCATTTCTGTAGAAAGTCATTTTTATATAGGTGGACTATTACTGTTCAGGGTGGTAAACTGATGTGGAGAGAAAATATGTTAGCTAACTTCATAATAGGAGGAAACATGGGTTTAGAAGTCTAACTCGATATGGAAATCCGAGAGGGAAACTCTGACTGGCCTAGATTGGGTTATAGGTAGAAATTTTGGACAAATTACTATAGTGTCAGGAGTAAGATCTAAGCTTGCTAACTACTGTATGCCTATATTTTGTGCAAGTACATACATGTAGGAGTATAGGGCTTGTACCAGAAGAAGGTAAGTTAAGAACCAACAATTATCATAGGATCTAGCTTTTCTTTGACATTTAGTATCTGATATACTTGTCATCTTTGATTAATCTATATCTTATTAGTTTACCTACAGAACTAGGCATATGATTCATTTTGAGTGATTTTTACTTTTCTTAGACTATAAGCCCTTTGCTTCTCCCACCAACAAATTCTGACATTCTATCTTTTTGTATCTGTGTATGCAAATGCATGCACATGCATGTGTGTAAGTGTGGGAGCCACAGAACAACTTCAGGGGCTATTATCAAGGTGTCATCCACCATTTATTTGTGACAGGACATCAAACTAGCTTGGAGTTCACCAAGTACGGTAGGCTGGCTGACCACTGAGCCCATGATCTCTACCTTGAATCTGTCTCCCCCAGAACTAGCATTACAAAAAGAAAACACCACCATGCTCATTTTTGCTGTGAATTCTGGGAATGGAAGTCATGTACTCCTGTTTCCGAAGCAAGAAGTCTATTGACAGCTATTCTCCAACTGATACACCCCATCCTTGGTGGTACATTTGTCTCAGATCCAGACCTGCACTCCTCTGATTTATCTGTTCTGTGCAGTATGCTATTTCTTTTTTTTGGGGGGGGGAGGGGTTCTATTTTCACTCTTTGTTTGGAACAAAAGGGCGACAGTAGTTTTAGATTTTTAAATGATAAACATGGTGATAAGAGTGTTGAAAATAAGTCTGGCCTGAATTTGGAGAGTAAGTGATTTTCCAGTTTGGGGGTAGGAGAGAAAATGGGTGCAAGATCATCTCCAAAGGAGAAGAGAGCACATACTCAGTGAGCCACCAAGGAGTTTGGCTTCCACTCACTAAGGGCAAGCAGTGCAGTGCAGTGCAGGCTAACCATCCATGATCTTCCTCACAGCACATCAGAGTCTCCAATTGTCCAAAGTAACTGTCAGTACAAGAGCGAAAGCAACTCCAGACTGACTTAGCAATCAATCTGGATGACTATGAAGTATCCCCCAGTCCTGAAGTGGCAAAAATCTTCAGAGTGACTGTTGGAGCAGCGAACCATTCATGTGCTCCCAGTTATTATACAATGCATAGAGACTGGCGAGTGTCAATTCTGCCAGGCCACCACGTGCTATTCCTAGAAGATCACCTGTACATTTTTTTTTATTTTTAAATTATTTTATTATTTTTTATTTTTTTAGGTTTTTCAAGACAGGGTTTCTCTCTGTGGCTTTGGAGCCTTTCCTGGAACTCACTCTGTAGCCCAGGCAGGACTCAAACTCACAGAGATCTGCCTGCCTCTGCCTCCCTAGTGCTGGGATTAAAGGTGTGCGCCACCACTGCCCGGCTCCACCTGTACATTTATACATTCCCGTCATGGTTCCCGCTGCTACTGTGTTGAGGTTATCTTCTGAACCCCGTGTTTTGTCAATGATAACACCAAATGCGCTATAGAGCAAAGCCAGGGAGCCTAGAATATTAGCCCAAAGTGCCCCTTTCCTAGTCACCATATTCAAAATCTGTACGTTTCTTGGTTTGGACCAGGCCATGCTCTGAGTTTCCTTCAATCCTAACCGAAGACCATTCGTTGCCCCAATTGCAGCCCCTGTCATGCAACATCCTCCAATGGTAGAGTAAGCTAGCTCAAATCTGCCTCGGATTTTGTTAGCTCCAGTTGGCAAAATGAATTCATTGGTATCCTGAACAAGATAGCGTGGATCCACATTTAAATATGGAGACAGGGGGGTCATGACAGTTAGCGGAATGCCGGCCAAGTCAGCCTGCAAGTAACCCGCTCCTCCTGCTCCTAAGAAGCCAGCTAACCTGCTGGTGGTTTTTTTGCCACTTCCCCTGCCACCCTTCATGACGTCACAGCAAACTGCGGTGGGCTTACCACCACCACCTCAGGCTAGGGTCCTGTGCTCTGCCATGGTCCCCACAGCCACAGCTGGAAGACCCACGTTGCTACTGCCACCTACACACGCTCGTAGTATGCTATTTCTTAACCTTAAACTTAATTTCAGTTGCAAACCAAACATTATACTCTTAGTTGCCAACTGTAATTTGTGGAAGAAAGTACATTTTCTGTAATACGGGAGTGGCAGAGTGTGAATCAGAGTCAACTTTATATAAGTGAGTAAAATGAGGTCAGGTATAATACTGTGATGAAAGACTGAGACCACAATGATTTTGGGGAAAATATGTCCTACATTAGGGACTTAGAATTCATTTTAACAGGATATGAGCTAAATAAAACACGTCTATGGGTAGTTTTAGTCTAGTGGTCAGAGTATGATCCCTTTATTGGAAAATCCAGTGTTTATATAAGAAAATGCATGTTCTCAGTAGAGCTATCTTAAAAATAATGTAAACTAACAGCAGTACTCACAAAGACTATCATAGAATGTAAATCTACCATCATGTATGAATCTACCATCATGCTGCAGATTGGAACATGGTACAAATTGATCTGCAATGTGTATAAGAAAACTAATATCTATCTTCTCAGAACCAAGGGGCTTAGGGAAAAAAATGAAATTAATCATGAAGGGAGAAACATTCCATCAGATGATACAAGGACCCTGGAGGTAAAATCCAGCAATCAAATGTTCTTTAGGAATCTGGCAACAGAGATACAGTTATGATTATTTTCTTCCCACACAGTTGTTAAGAAAAGTAGAAGCATCTATAAACTATTCCAGGAGACATTTTTACAAGTAATTTTAAAAACACATTTCAGAAATTAAACCAATTGACTGTAAGACACACAGAATTCTTTGAATGCTGTCTGTAACCCAGGCAGGCCATGAATTTGCACCTTTCCTGCCTTGGCCTGTCAGCTAGATTACAGGCCTGTATCCCCAGGTCTGCTTGGTACTTTCCTTACTCTACAAAATTTCTATATAGATATGGCGTTGCTCCTGAATCCCTTTACTTGAGAAATGGAATTACCTAATTTCATTGGAAGGGCATACCAAGAAAGTAGCCAGTAAGTGTCTTTACCTTATCAGTTCCAGCCTCTATGTAGTGGCTTTCATGAACTTAATATGATCATCATTCCTCTTTTGACAATCAGGTTAAAGGCTTGGGTCAACAGAAATTAAAAATCCTTTATAGTAGGCCTTTGGATATTTAGCCCATTTTAGCAAAAATTGAAGAGTCAATTTGTGAAATTTGCAGTTTGATTTAATAAGAAAGTCCTCTTTATAAATTGAAGTAATACCAATTTCTCTACTGTCAATAGTGTGTGTTTACCTGCTGCCTAGAATATAAAAGCAAGACCTTCCAGGATCAGACCATATTTTTTTTATCTTCATAGTTTCTTTGACAGCCCTGTTAGCTCACACCATTGGTCAATCATTCCTAACCTTACCATGACCTTCACCATTCTATAAACTTACATAGTCTATGTCTGTCTTAGTTGGGATTTTATTTTATTTCTGTGAGATACCATGACCATGGCAACTCTTTTAAAGGAAAGCATTTAATTGGGGCTGGCTTATAGTTCAGAGGTTTAGTCCATTATCATTATGGTGGGAAACATGGTGGCCCAAAGACAAACATGGTACTAGAGAAGGAACTTAGAGTTCTACATCTGGATCAGCAGGCATCAGGAAGAAGAACTGTGTGCCACTGAGCCTGGGCTTGAGCATATGAGACTTCAAAGCCTGCCCCCATAGTGATACACTTCCTCCAACAAGGCCACACCTACTCCAACAAGGCCATACCTTCTAATAGTGCCACTTCTTATAGACCAAGCATTCAAGCACATGAGTCTACGGGGGCCATTTCTATTCCAACCACCACAATACCTCTATGCCTTCCTCATTCTTGTGCACACACATTTTAACACACACCTCAGTACCACCCCTGTGATGCCTTCCCTCCTGTTTCTGTTCCCATTAGGCAGACTTAAACATTACCTGTCAAGCCCTAGTAGACACCTCCCCCTCTTTCATATTCTCTCTCTCTCTCCTCTGTCTGCCTCTCTCTCTCTCTCTCTCTCTCTCTCTCTCTCTCTCTCTCTCTCTCTCTCCATATATATATATATATTTCTATCTATCTATACAAAATATCTAGACAGAGATAAGACAGATAAATACATAGATAGATGTAGATACATTTGTGTGTCTCTATCTGTCTCTGTCTCTCTTTCTCTCTCTCTCTCCTCTCCTGTGTGTGTATGTGTGCGTGTGTGCATGTGCGTGTGTGTGTGTGTGTGTGTGTGTGTGTGTGTGTGTGTGTGTGCCCATTATAACATCTCTCTCATTGTGTATCATTTTCCCATATTGTGCTTGGAATGTCTATTGAACAAATTGGAATATTATCATATTCTCCAGTCAATATATGAGTCAGAGAAACATGTGAATGACTAGTTCATTCACTGAGTTTTAATGCTCATAAATAAAAAATAGCATTTATACCTTACTCTTTTCACTAGCTGAATACTACAGAATAGTGTATACTATGGAACAATGGAGTAAAACACAATAAAACAGCTAGATTTATTTTATTTCAAGAAATGATTCAAGATTCTCCTTCATGGATGAGAGAGACAGATAGGGAAAAGCTCAGGAGTCCAGCTATGGGAAGCCTAGCAATAAATCAAGTCCAGATTGGACAGAGGAGGAAAGATCAGCTGGATATTGAAGGTCACAATAGAGCAATAGGTTGACTTTGGAAAAATAAATAGGGGTTAAAAGAACAGTTACATTTCACAGGTCAGCTAGGAACCTGGTCAAGGGTAGAAAGTTAACTGGAACCTTGAGTTTAAAGTGTAGCCTGGTAGACATCACAATCTCAGTGCCCTGAATGATAAATTGTTTTGCTAGTCCCATTTGCTACTTTGTTATTAAGTATCTACCTGGTACAAGATCTGGTTAAAACTGGATAGATAAGGAAATAGGTAGACATCCGACAGACGGACAGACAAGCAAAACCCAGTAGTACAGGACTGTAATCCCTGCTGCCCTAGAGTTGATAGCAGGAGAACCACAGGGTTAAGGACAACCTAGGCTACAGGGTGAGTTCCAGTCTAGCCTGAGTAATTTAGTGAGACTCTCTCTCAAATAAAAAGAAAGCTGTTTGTGGTTTAACATGAGCAAGTTCCTAGGTTCAATTCCTAGGACTGTATAAAGTACATACATTAAGGTACAAATGGGCAGATTCCTCCTCACAAGGAAGTTACATTATTATCTCAGTTGACCTTTGTACCTGTACTCCCTATTCCTCAAGAAGAAGCCATGACTTTTTGTCCTTTACACTTTCAGCCCTGATTGAATGTCAATTATCATTTAAATGAGCTTTTTAATCAGCATCTGTGGGTGCAGCTTTTCTTGATTAGTGACCCTGATTTCTCATTGATCCTGGAGAATCTTACATTTGCAAGGCATTTTTATGTGTTGTGTTATTTTGTCTTTCCAACAACTTACTGTAACACGAATTTCGTCTTCTCATATCCATAACCTGCAGTGTATATAACGCCTGCATTTTACAGACTCTGTCTAAAGTTTATATGCTCCAATTCTTCGGACATTTCTAGAGAATTGAACATTCACTGTTGTTTCCTTTCTGTGTGTTGAGTGCCGATTGTGAGTCACCCTCTGAAATCTAAGACAAAATTGTAACAGTAAAAAAAAAAATTCTCAATCCTTTTGATTTTTATTTTATTCCATTGTTAATGGATTCTGTTGCTCATCAGATAAAACATCTAAAAATTATTCAGTTGAACACCAACTTGACCTTGAAACATTTCTATCTTAACCAGTCTGAGCTGCTAAAGCAAAGTACTTTATACAGGGAATTCATAAACATCAGAAATTTATTTTTTACCATTCTGAATGTTAGAAAGTCTAAGATCAAGGCACCAGCAGATTTCAGGCATGGTGAGAGCAGCTTGTTTCATCAAGTGATACAGCCTTCTGCCTGTGTCCTCTTGTGTTCAGGGACTTACTGCAGCACTCCAGGACCTTGATAATAAGGGAATTAATCCTATTTACAGAGGTCACATCCTTATGACTGTATCACTTTTCAATGGCTCCACCTCCTAATACTTTGGTGACTAGGTTTTGAAGTCAAAACGATAAGGAGACATAATCATTTAGATCAACAGTGTCCCAGATTGTTGTGCACTCACACCCCATCTATTCTGCTACATGTCTCTTGGATCTACTTCTGTTCATCTTTGCCTCCTATTTTCTTACTCCAATTTTTTGTACTTCTGATCTCTCAAGTACATTTTAACAGACACTTTCCTACTTACACTGATCTTGAAGCATGAAATTTCTTTTCAAGGCACTTAGGAAAATGGAAGTACTTAGAATGTTCATGAACAGAATGTCTTGTGAGCTGCAAAAGTTAATGTGAGAAAAGCTGATAGAAGAGTCAGCTCATCAGAGTTTTTCCTCCTTAAAAAGCAGCTAGTTATAAGCCCTTCTTAAACAGCAAGCACAAAGCAAGTGCTCTCATTTCCCTGCTTAAAATAGACAAAATAAAACTAATAATTGACTTGTCAATTTACTGTGACTATTAATTCCCTATATACAAAGATGGCCTTTGTTAATTTAGGATGCCCATTTTCTTTCCAAATATAATTATCTGACTATATATAGATAAGTAATTTAAAGCCAGCTAATGATTGTTTGAGCATCTAAACTTAAAAACTGTGTAGACATTAGTAAATTATCCACTTAGAAAACCTGTAACAGTTGCAACAAAATTAATGTTAACTGATAAGTTAAATTGGACTTGTGATATTTTATGACATTTAGAGTATGCCTTATCCATGGCTTGTAAATATACCTTCATGGTGAAGAACTTGATAAGCTTCACATAGACATAGAAGTGCTTTGTTATGTAAATGTATGCTGCATTAACCTAAGAAAGTAATTTGCAATTTTTCCTATGCCATGACATTTACTAGGTGCAAGGCTCCATTGTATCAGGAAACATCCATCAATTGTGAAAATGAGGATGGAAGCATGACCAGAGGTTGTAGCTTAGTAGGAGAGTGTTTTCTTGACATGTATGGGGCCCTAGGTTCTATTTCCAGAACTGCAAAAAAGTAAAAATAATGGCTCATATTCACAAATTAAATGTCATTGACCAATAGATTCAAAATATTTGTACTTATAGCATAATAATATAATGTTGAAATCAAAATGGAAACTGACTTTATTATGTTCTGTCAGAATAATTTCCTTGCCAGGCAGCAGTAGTGCACACCTTTAATCCCAGCACTCGGGAGACAGAGGCAGGAAGATCTTTGTGAGTTCGAGGCCAGCCTGGGCTACAGAGTGAGTTCCAGGAAAGGCTCCAAAGCTACACAGAGAAACCCTGACTCAAAAAACCAAAAAAAAAAAAAAAAAAGAAAGAAAGAATAATTTCCTAGATATGAGATTAAACT